GGTTCATCTTCTATATCTCTACAACTAAAACATTCATAACTATTCCATCCACAGGTGAGACACCAAAGCCGCTCAATGCGATCAGATCAGGAAGGCAACGCGCACTCGCTCCATGCAATCAGCTCAATCCCCCATAACAGCCGCAGCAAATTAGGAAGGCAAAAATTAATTCCCGTAACAATCGTGATCAATTCCGCGATCACCCCACGCTGCCAATCACACGAGACCACGCCATCACCTACACCGCGACCTCCCTGGCACTCTACAGTCACACGGCACCGTGTCCTCACCTCCTCATGCCTGGCCCTCGCGCCACCTTCGCCATCGCACACGCTGTCCGCCGATCAACGCCATCGTTCAATCATGCCGTGTCCCCGTCCTGCCCCATACCGGCTCCATCCGACGCTCCATCTTGTCCCCGTTGCCTCGATGCCGCTGGAGCGCCCGTCGCCTCGCCACCCTGCCCACTGACGCTGGCGTACCCTGTCACAACACCAAGCTAGCGATGAGCACCCACCAGGTACGTCACTAGGACCCTATATCCCCATCTGTCTTCCCTTACAGCTATGTGAGATAGAACACCCAAACCCAAATCCTAACAGCAGCACGTGGGCGAAGACGACCATGGCTAATCCTAGCAGAAGCACACGGACGACGACAACCAGCGGAGCCATCGCCAAATCACCCCGCTCAAGTCTCCATGGCGCCGCGCCCTCCCCACTGACACTGCTGCTTTGCGCCACCGCGGACTCAGGTCTCCACCACCGCTGACACACGTCAGGCACGCGAAATCAGGACGCCACTCCGATGTCCGTTGCAATAGGTCGCTGATCTCGCCACCTGCAGTCCGCGGAGCCTGTAATAGATCTATGATCATGGCGAGCGGTCGAGCTCCTTAGCATGAACCACCAGCCCACCACTACCAGCTGGGCAGCACAAGCATCACGCCCGCGAACTCCTGCGTCGCACCGCCATTGCCAGGCGTGAGCTCGCTCCGGGGAACAGCCAGTCCTGGCCTTGCTCCTCCGCCCTTAGTAAGCCACAGGTGAGCTTCCCTGCACCCCTGCGCTCCTTCTCCATGCACGCGCGCACGCAAGGCACACTGCGCAACCGCAAGCTCGCGTTGCTGGGAAATGGCCGCCGAGCACCGGTAGTGCTCTGTTCCGTGCTATGCTTTGCATGAGCATTCCTAGCTTGTTAGCTTGATGACATCAGGATGACATGTCCACACTTTCTTGTCGTTTTCCTTTAGAAGAATAAAAGAGGAAACACATTGGAAATACAAGGACCCATACCCTTCAGCATGAACTCGGTCCATGGTGGACCGCTCACACACCACACCACCGATCCATGGTTCATGGACCTGTCAGTGTTTTGTTTTTTATGTGGACATTCTAATAAACATCCTATTAGTTGTTAACAATTTTCTAAGGATGTTTATGAAACTAGAATAGTCTCCCTTTGCATGATCGGTTATCGAGACCATAATGTTTATAATTACATTTTTCATTACACCATGGTCAACTACTCAACTGGAAGCTAAATGTGCTCCTTTTCTTTTTTTCTATCTCTTCAATATGGCAATGCTTTAGATTTAGTGCATTTTGGATAGTTCAGAGTGAGCTCATTTGTTTGAACAAGAACATATGTCGTGTTGTTTGGGTCATTTGCAGTGAGTTTGTTTGGTTTTAGTCCATCCATTTTGGTTGGAATTTTGAGCTTTTTGCACTGCCTGATGATCGCTAATTCAGTCCTCATCCTGCCATGCAAACCACATTTCATTTCTTTTGCCCACAAGATTTGCTCGTACATAGGTATTGGGCATGAAAAAACTAAGTGGAACAAAACTTTTTTCCCTAAACACATGTTGCTATTTACTTGCAAGTTCATAGAGTTGCCTTGATGATATGCAAATACGGATCGCTCGTGTCATCTTAATAGGTCCGTTGGGACAACGGCCACAAACATCACCTAATGATCGAAGCACGATAGAAAACTGGTTGTTGAGGCCTCCCCTTAGGGAAAGGCTCCGATGACTGCAATAAGTCTTCTCTGCTGAAATTGATTTTAATCCAAACTTATGATCACTGGCAAATTGGTAGTTGTTAACATAACTCATATGCCCCGGATGTTGCAACCACCTCAAAAACACAAAAGATTTAGCCATGCTTTTCTATGGTTGGGGATGGATAATTTTGAAATCTATGGTGTTGTTTAGATCCTCAATTTATTATCAACTTT